GGGGGGAATCATAATGGTTAAGAGTAAATTGACTGGCTCTAATAAGTTATTAATCCTCTTTTTCAGGTTAACATCTCATACTTTGTATAGGTATAGTCAGCGGATAAAACTTAAGCCTATTTAGATAAGATAACAATTTCTTCCCCCCAAAAAAATTTACTATTAACTGTGGTAAAAATTCTTTTCTTCCTTTACCAAAATTATCATTCATTCTTCTTTTTATCTTTTAATATTTTTGAAAACTGCATAGATAAGTTCAAAAGTATTAGACTCTTTGTCAACACCATCAAATTTCACGAAATTATATTTGAACAAGAAAAACATAATAAATTCTTATTGCCTAAGAAAAATCCCCTCTCTCTGTCTCTTTCTATACATTTTTTGTTTTCAAAATTTTTCCCTTTTATTAAATCTCAGAAGATTGTTAACCAGAGTCAATTGCCATTTTTGGATTTTGAGAGCTGAAAACATGGGGTTCAAGGATTTTCAACTCAAGATAGCCAAGGTACATTGCTTCTTTAATTTCTCTAAATGTATACATATTTTGTTTAATCTTTTGTACTTTAATTATCATTTATCAATACGTTTACAAAGCAAAGAAATGACGATTAAAGGATTATAGATTCACATTTACATCGAAATTTCATTTTCTTTTAATTGTTCCACCCCAAAATGCACGATTATATAAGTCCATTTACCTCTTGTTACAAACCTTTCTTTGGGACATTTCTTCTATATTTTTTATTTCTATTGACCACCTTTGTCATAAGGTTTTAGCATGGTTTGTTTTTACGAAACTAATACAATTCTGGCACATTTTTTAGGGCAAACAAAGTCCTCACTCATTCCGCCAACAATTGTTGTATCTTTTAGACTTGCTTCGCACCTATGTCAAAAGCCAGTTGAGGTTCATGTATAGAGTTTGGTATTTTTGTTTGTTAGGACGCAGAACATTAGGCAGAAATCACATGTATAGGTCCATCATGCAAGTTTTTCAATCTCTTATAAGTCGTTTATTTGTTGAATTTTATAGAAACTTCGGCTGAGAAACTTTCTGGCCAAAGAAGAAGGATACAAGAAGAGAGAAACGAACAATGGGAAGAGGCTTTCATGGATGATGCCTATAACTCATGGATATTACGTGGCGGAGGAAAAGCCATTAGGCGGCGGAGCACCGCCACAAACACCTCAAAATAACCAAGTAGAGTGTGATAAAGTGGTGGTGCAAAGGGAACAAGTAGAAGAACAAGAGTGGTGGTTTTATGGAGTTTTTGATACCCGAATTGGTGGCGGAGTTACCAAGTACCTGCAGACTCATTTGTTTGACGACAATTTTAACGAGGTAATTAACAAACCATGAGAATAATATGTTCTTAGGATTCACCACTCTCTTGTGTTCTGTCATACTACATTTCATGACTTTGTTGTGATCGCCACTATTTGTTTTATCATTTTGTGTCCATGGTCATGCTGTCATATATATATATATATATATATATATATATATATATATATATATATATACACACACACGCCATCGATTATCTTTCCCAAAGTTATGGAACGGAAAGAAGAAGAAAAAGCATTTTTCGCGCAGCTTGCTCATAATACAGGTCTCATTTGTATATCATATTTGGCCGGCCTAACTCACCTACTCCTTATCGATCTATCTAATACTTTCTTATATCTACTTAATTTAAAAGGCAACAACAAGAATGGAACCATAGGCTCATATGCTATGTGTGTTGTTGTTGTTGTGTGTTTGTTAATAGCATTGGGTATTTCGTAAGCCCTCAATGATAATCAGTATCATCATTTATGAGAGGTGATGCCTGATTAAAAGGGCAGCCCGGCGGACAAGGTGTGCCGCATCAAAGTAGGGTCCGACGATGGGCCACACCCCAAGAAGTGTATGTTGAAAATCTACCCTAATGCAAGCATTAGTGGTTGCTTCCACGGCTGGAACCGTGAGGTCACATAGAGACAACTTCACCGTTGCTCCAAGGCTCTCCTAGGTGATGCTTGATTGTTGGGGAAATAATTTTTGTTCCTTTTAGTGTATCTAGAAAATCAAAGGGAACACCTATGAAAGGTGATGCTGATTATTAAAGCCCAGTGCAACATAACCTGTAAATTGTAGCTTAGTTAGAGGTTTAGCTCATGTTTTGTGGCTATTTCCTTCAGTCACAGATGAGGAAGAAAAGCAAGGAAACCTTAAAAAAGGCACATGTGCATGCAAAAGCTAAGGTCAGGGAAACAGAACGACTAGAGAAGACATGGAACATGGGTTCAGCTTCAGCAATAGTCATCAATGGAGAGAAGCTAATACTTGCAAATATGGGTGAATACAAAGTGGTGGTATGCAAAGACGGCGAAGCTTTCGAAATTAACAGAAGGCAACAGCATACAACAAAGTCACATTGGTCACATAAATTCTTCCCAGGCAAGATAATATATCATCCTTTTACCCCTCTTTGGGAATTTTCATTTTGATGTATAGACTATAGCTGAGTTGATTGTTTTTGGTTCATATCAGTTGTCGTCAAACGCTTACCTAAAATAAGAAGCACAGCCTTGGATTCTGGAAAGGGAGCTGCAGCTAATAAGCCTTCTAAAAGCTCAGAACTTGTTGTTGGTTCTGAAAGAATTGATCGCGATATTGAATTTGTTATCTTAGCTAGTCCTGGCATATGGGAGGTAAACTTCAATATCCAACCACCCCCCACCCCANCAGAGCTTACCCCTATCTTATAAAGATAGAGAGGTTATTTCCGACAGACTCTCCCCCGCCCCAAACCAACACAACCAAAAGAAGAAACAAACCTCAGCTAGTGCTAACTGTTGATTTCTGCTTGTGAAATTTTAACCAGGTAATGAAGCAGCAAGAGGCAGTGAACTTGATCAGGCATTTGGAAGATCCTCAAGAAGCTGCTGAATGCTTAGCCAAAGAAGCTTTGACTAGAAGGAGCAAAAGCAATGTTTCTTGCCTCATCATTAGATTTGAATAATGCAGAAATGAGAAAAACCTAAAAGACATCCTTGTTTGTGTAGAATAGAAACTACACCTTCAACTAATATACTTTGATATGAGTCATTCCCATTTACAGAACTGGGAAGTAACATTCCAATACAAGTTAGCTAATATTTTAGCAAACTGAGATTGCTGTCAAGGGTCAAGCAACTCTTGTGTAAGGTCAAGCTAGGATCTCATAACTAGGTGTGGCTATATCAAGAAAAAGAATTTCAGTATTGCTGCGTTTCTCTTTTTTCCCTCAACATATTTATTTCATTTTATCTTCTGCAATTATTCTGTTACCAGGTTTTACTAAAGTAATGCATCTACATGTTTCACGGGTTGGAGCCGTGGAATCAGCCATTAATGCAAGCATCAGGGTAGGCTGCCTACATCACACCTCTTGGGGTGCGGCCCTTCCCCGGATCCTCCATGAAAGGGGATGCTTCCTGCACCAGGCTGCCCTTTTTGTGTTTTCATTGCCACATTCTTTTTTCTCTTATATTCATTTCCCATGCTATTGGCCTTAATAAGCCATAGGTCAAGGAAAATTGCAAAATGTGTAATTACTTTGAAGCAATAAATAAACGATAGGAACTGTAAAAATTTCTGGAGCATCTTTACTGCAAACACCAACTATCAAATCCAAACAGTAAGTACATTGAAAGCTAACAGGCAGTCGAACGTATATACATTTTTCATCTTAACACCATTTCTTTTTACAAAATACTACATTTTAGGAAATGAACTGCTTTTGGAATGTCATAAAGAGCTGTGAGCAAAATTAAAAAAATGATGAATTGATGTGTCACACCTTGAGCTGACAACCATTGGAGACTCACTTGAACAATCTTGATACTGCATACTGTCACCTTTTTTCACTAGTCTTGCTTCGAAAGGGAGATAACAAAGAGAGGCGAGCTGTATTCCAAGTGTAAATACCTCAGTTCCTCATTCATACATATAAATATAAAACACATTTAAATCTTAAGGATATTATTAATCTTACACTTCTGAGGAGCATTGCCACCAGTTGGGGTTTCATCTTGGGAGATCAAATTCTTCAAAGTGTAAACTGGAGGAGACAAGGTATAAGGTCAGCTTATTGATATTAAAGAGGGACAAGGGTGAACAAATTATTGTCGATTCCATATGCATTACAATTGTGCAGATGGAATTAGAATTAAGGGTTTAACATTCAGGATCAAGACATATTCCATCGAGTCATCTACAGTACATACAAGTCAAAGAAATATTTCCAAAACTGTGCGAAGCTACTGAAAAGAAACGTTAGCCAAGAATTGTTTCCCCCATTCTTCTCAACGCAACAGTACTCATCCACTACCCTTCCACCCCTCCCTCTCTCCAATCACAAACAGTTCTGTTTAACATGTTTTCTTATCTTTTTATATTCTTATTTCACTTGTCCTCTTGTTCTGCTTTTGGTGCTCCCTATTTGGTTTGGGAAGCCGAAGTAACAGATTGTAAGGATTCAAATGGTAGCTGGTTCTAAACTTCATTTTGGATTTATAAGAAAATCACTGCTCCCCCCATCCCATTTTATGTGACATGCTTTGATTGGACACGTAGTTTAATAATGAAATAAAGACTTTTGAAATTTGTGGTCTAAAACAAGCCATAGACATTTTTGTGGCTCTAAATTATCTCTTTAAGGATAAAATGAAAATTTTAAAGTCAAATCATTTCTAAGTATAGAAAGGTGTTATTTTGGGACAGGCTAAAAGGAAAGTGTGCAAAATAAATAGGGACAGAGTGAGTAATTTTTGTTTTTTGGATAGGTAAGGATCTTAACAAGAAAACTACACCAGATCTTGTTCCCATAATTTCAAAAGGGAACATGTTATCGATGTTTTCAGCTACGGCTATCAAGTTAAGAGATTTGAAAGCTCGTTACCTTCACTAGGCAAGGAAGCATTTGCGGCACTATCATCCTGCTTGACACTATTCATGGTTGCACCATCTGATTCTGCTCCTGCAGAGGAATGGTTCTTCTTTCCAAACCTCAAGAGGCGTTTAAAACCTTTTGGTGATTCCTTCAATTGAGTCTTCTCTGCAGCTTCTGGATTGTTATCTACTCTGATGGTGTGAATATCAGGTGCATGAGCTTTGGCAATTTCTTTAACTGTTGATGCTATGTCTGAGCTCGACGGGGGTGCTTTAACATACTCCAAGTTTCTGGTAGAAGGGTCCTCTACAGAGGAGACACGAGCATAGGGAGCACGATAAACAGTACTACCGATATTTGCAAATTTGGGTGTGTCATCAGCATAACTCGTCCCCACCTGCAAATATTAAGGTGGAATATTCAGTTTTCGCAATTGCATATGCAACTAATGTTAATTCAATACAGAACCCAAACAAGCAGAGCATAAATTATTACCTTTGCTAAATAATCATATGCTAATGAGAATCCCCGGCACCATGTAAACAGCATACAAGAAATCCATTGGCAGAAAATTTATTACAAATATCCATATGAGCATATTGAAACACGAGGCTTTAAGTAGGTGAGTTTTTTTTCCTTTTTCATTAATAAGTATTGTTTAGGTGTATATTATACGTTTTCGTGACAAGGGCTGTTTAGGTGAAAATATAATTTTCTTTTTTTCAATAAATAAGCATACGCAGGTCACAATTCACTTCAACTGGCACGTAAATAAATTGAAAGGATAGTTTGCTCACACCACCCAAGCAAATCAGGCCCCCAAGACCACTACAGTGCCCCCCACCCCCAAACCCAAAAATACCCCCTCCTTACCCCCATGCCACCTAAGAGAAATGAACAAAGTATATAAAGGAAATTCATATTCCAGATAAAACTAAAACATCTAAGATCAATTAAGTTGTCTGTTGCTTCTGAAAAAGTTTTGCTAAAATTGGGGGACATTTTTAGGGAAGAAATCAGGAACATTTTATCTCCATGATCTACTCGTGTTAAGTATATATTACCATATGTTCAAGTTCAACTGATATAGTAGTCACTTAACTGTAAGAATTTTTAGTAATTGTGTTGTGTAATGGGCAACATCTAAGAGTACCAGCTTTTAATTTTACCTAACTCTACTAGTCCTACCTCATGAGTATTTGACAGTTTTTGCAGTTGGCTAGGAGCAGGAGCTCGGATAAATCCCTCAAAGGGTGACGGTGGGTCACGTGTAGATGCATAGTCAGTTTTCTCTACACTGTCCTTCTCTGATGATGATTTGGAAGCTGCAAAAGAGGGCTTCTCCTTCTCAAGCATAACAACAGTTTTCTCAATAATGTTTTCATCTGGATCACTCTTGTAAGATTCAACGTCTTTGGATACTACAGAAGGCCTGTCATTCTTCTCTTTTGCTATATTCTCTGCAGCTGGTTTATCTTGTGGTAAATCAGACGATTCTTTGGTGGTTCTGATTTTCAGCTCAGGAAGAGTAGCAGCCTTCTTTTTGTCAAGGTCTATGATAGCAGATATTTTCTTGCTCTCGGGCACATCAGAGCGTTTCGTCTTAGACACTGGTTCAGCACTTCGAGCCTTGGGCTTTGATACAAATTCAGCACTTTGTGCCTTCCCCAAAGTACCAGGCTTGCCGCTGATTGCTTTGGGCTCTGATAATCTTCTTATTCGTGCCATGGATGCCTTTGAATTAGGTGTAACACCATTGTTTTCTTTTTTTGGTTCAGACAAGGATGATGCCGATCTACTCAATTTGTTACCAGCCAATTTGCTGCCATCAGTTGATTTGCTGGCTTTAGAGCCCTTTTGCAGATCACTTGACACCAGTGAAGTTCTTATTTTGGTTCTTTGCAATGGCGACGAGGATCCAGGCTCTGAGTCACTGAACTTAGATCCCCTGATGGTGCTAGGAGAGAGTTTTGCTGGCAATTTTCTTGTTTGGGCTGTTGGTGCTGGAGAGCGAGCAGAGCTGGAGCCACCTCTGGATGCAATTCTCTTTTGCCTTTCCAGTTTTAATGCCTCAATGCGCTTTTGGTCTGCCTCTTCCTGTAAAATTTTAAAATTCCACCTATTCAAACTCTATTGGGAAATATATCATGAAAAAACAACTTAAACTGGTTAAATATTCCAGAAACACTATTTAAATCACTAACACTTTGTACCGCGAAAAAGGGAGGGGAAGTGAGAAAAAATAGGTCAGTGCACCTTTTCTTTTTTCATCTTCTGGATATCAGACTTGAAGGATCTTATCCTATCAGCACGTGCTCGTGCATCATCCAAAGGACTTGACTTTGACATTTTTCCTTTTCTTATTGGCCCTCCACTCCTCTTCTTATCTGAAGTATCAGCAGTAGCTTTTGACCTGCGATCTTTCTCTGATTTTTTAGAACCTACATTCACGTCATTCGAGACTCCATTCTTTCTTTTATCCTTTGAAGCAGACCCTTCAATGCAAAATTGCATTTCATAGTCCAGCGCAGGGTCATAGACACCTGACCTCTTTTCTGTTCCCCGCTCAGGCATCAAGCTCAAATCATTAGGCTCGTAGTAGCTCATAACCCCAACAGAGTTGTTTTCTGATTTTTGATGCGGAAGCTCAGAGTCCATGTTAATGGCAGTTCTTCCATCTGGTCCAACATCATCCAATGACATTGACCTAAAAGGTACAATAAAAGACTCATCAGCCATATCATGTGAGGATGCTCTGTCTATCTTATTCGCATGCTCAAATGCATTTACAGCTAGAGGATCTAATGAATTTCTCATCCCTGATTGATTGTCTCGACCATTTAACATAAAATCATCATTTGAAGTTCTAAGCATGACTTTTCTCCCATTTATTTCTGTAAACTGCATGTCCATTTTGTCACCAAGTCCTTGAGCACTGTCATATCCTCTGTTTGAAAGTAGAAGTTCACCATTAGGTCCCCTGGACATGCGCGACATCTTCGCACCAACTGTGTGGATATCATCACTCAACCTATCCTTCATTTCAATGCCATCTTGTGCACCACTAGCCAAAGGATCATCGCCCGTGGTATTTTTTCGCCTCCTCCTTGCATCTTTCTCCATGGAGAACATGCCATTTTTGTCAGCCTGACTTTCTTCTTCATTGCCTTTCAATAAACAATTTTGAAATGCCAGCCAGTGCCCACCATCAGCTTCCTTCTCACGTACAGCGTCATCATCATATAAAATTGACTCATCCTGAAACTTTGTGCGGCTTCGTCTTGTTTTTGATGACTGTGAAGTTTCCCTGTTAACCGGACTGTGACCATTGCCTTCTA